CCTGTCTCCTTTGTGTTGTCTTTATTTACTTGTATATGTACCTGTCTCCTTTGTAATGTCTTTATTTGTATATGTACCTGTCTCCTTTGTACTGTCTTTATTTACTTGTATATGTACCTGTCTCCTTTGTACTGTCTTTATTTACTTGTATATGTACCTGTCTCCTTTGTACTGTCTTTACTTGTATATGTACCTGTCTCCTTTGTACTTTCTTTACTTGTATATGTACCTGTCTCCTTTGTACTGTCTTTATTTACTTGTATATGTACCTGTCTCCTTTGTACTGTCTTTATTTACTTGTATATGTACCTGTCTCCTTTGTACTGTCTTTATTTACTTGTATATGTACCTGTCTCCTTTGTACTGTCTTTATTTACTTGTATATGTACCTGTCTCCTTTGTACTTTCTTTACTTGTATATGTACCTGTCTCCTTTGTACTGTCTTTATTTACTTGTATATGTACCGGTCTCCTTTGTGCTGTCTTTATTTACTTGTATATGTACCTGTCTCCTTTGTACTGTCTTTGTTTACTTGTATATGTACCTGTCTCCTTTGTACTGTCTTTATTTACTTGTATATGTACCTGTCTCCTTTGTACTGTCTTTGTTTACTTGTATATGTACCTATCTCCTCTGTACTGTCTTTATTTACTTGTATATGTACCTATCTCCTTTGTACTGTCTTTATTTACTTGTATATGTACCTGTCTCCTTTGTACATAGGAAGGTTTTATTTGCTATGATTTATTCTTTGCCAGAATGAAAATCTTTAAGTAGGAAATATCTCGCAGGAAAATGTTGTGCTGACATTTATACACCACATAAAGGGATTAATATTCTATAGAAGAAGACTCCTTAAGAGACGATTAAATGAGCTGATACATCTTGTGTCCAATCTTTTTGTTTATAAACAAGGAAATATGCGTCAAACAAAATTATTCCAGGTATTAAATAAATACAAACGCATAATGCTATAGGTTACCTTGGCAACCCTAGACATATAGAATGATATTTTGATCGCATGAATTTTCTAGACTGATTGTTCAACACAATAATTTATGGGGAAAACACGACATCAAATATTGCAGATAAAACCTGCTATTATAACAAAAATAACACATTATTAGGACGGATAGTATCATATTTTATAAATTAATGTAAGTACATTTGTATGTCTACCCTGTCAAACATAACAACATATACCTGACTAACAGTGATCTGTGATATAGGAGTAGCTGTGTTATTACAGGCCTGTATGTCATTTATACTGATGATACTTAAGATATATTACTTCCACTTTATAGCGAGGTGCAATGATTCATTATAATATATATCACAAAGTGTAATGTTTACTAATCTTATAGGTATTTATCATTTTCACACAATATACAATGTAGTAAACTTACTTAAAGTAGATACTAAATGAACCAGATCATCAATGACTTTTCTTCCTTTTCTCTATGTAAACAATAAAATAAAAAATTCTGATCTTCAGTTTTCTGATTTTGTTATAATGTCATAAGTATTTTAGAATTTTGGTTCCTTCACACAGGAATTCCAATACCAAAACAGTTGAATTTAGCATTACATAAGTAAATAAAAATCTAACTTACTGCAGGTGTGACATGTATCAGAAATACCTGTATCCAAGGACAGGTGTATCAGACATGTATCAGAAATACCTGTATCCAAGGCAGGTGTATCAGACATGTATCAGAAATACCTGTATCCAAGGACAGGTGTATAAGACAAGTATCAGAAATACCTGTATCCAAGGACAGGTATCAGAAATACCTGTATCCAAGGACAGGTGTATCAGACATGTATCAGAAATACATGTATCCAAGGACAGGTGTATCAGACAAGTATCAGAAATACATGTATCCAAGGACAGGTGTATCGGACATGTATCAGAAATACCTGTATCCAAGGACATGTATCAGAAATACTTGTACCAAGGACAGGTGTATAAGACATGTATAAGAAATATTTGTATCCAAAGACATGTATCAGAAATATCTGTACTCACTGACAGGTGTATCAGACATGTATCAGAAATACTTGTATCCAAGGACAGGTGTATCAGACATGTATCAGAAATACCTGTATCCAAGGACAGGTGTATCAGACATGTATCAGAAATATCTGTACCATCAGACATGTATCAGAAATACCTGTATCCAAGGACAGGTGTATCAGACATGTATCAGAAATATCTGTATCCAAGGACAGGTGTATCAGACATGTATCAGAAATACCTGTATCCAAGGACAGGTGTATCAGACATGTATCAGAAATACATGTATCCAAGGACATGTATCAGAAATACTTGTACCAAGGACAGGTGTATAAGACATGTATTAGAAATATTTGTATCCAAAGACATGTATCAGAAATACCTGTATCCAAGGACAGGTGTACCAGACATGTATCAGAAATACCTATATCAAAGGACAGGTGTATTGGACATGTATCAGAAATATCTGTACTCACTGACAGGTGTATCAGACATGTATCAGAAATACCTGTATCCAAGGACAGGTGTATAAGACATGTATCAGAAATACCTGTATCCAAGGACAGGTGTATCGGACATGTATCAGAAATACCTGTATCCAAGGCAGGTGTATCAGACATGTATCAGAAATACCTGTATCCAAGGACAGGTATCAGAAATACCTGTATCCAAGGACAGGTGTATCAGACATGTATCAGAAATACATGTATCCAAGGACAGGTGTATCAGACAAGTATCAGAAATACATGTATCCAAGGACAGGTGTATCGGACATGTATCAGAAATACCTGTATCCAAGGACATGTATCAGAAATACTTGTACCAAGGACAGGTGTATAAGACATGTATAAGAAATATTTGTATCCAAAGACATGTATCAGAAATATCTGTACTCACTGACAGGTGTATCAGACATGTATCAGAAATACCTGTATCCAAGGACAGGTGTATCAGACATGTATCAGAAATATCTGTACCATCAGACATGTATCAGAAATACCTGTATCCAAGGACAGGTGTATCAGACATGTATCAGAAATATCTGTACCATCAGACATGTATCAGAAATACCTGTATCCAAGGACAGGTGTATCAGACATGTATCAGAAATATCTGTACTCACTGACAGGTGTATCAGACATGTATCAGAAATACCTGTATCCAAGGACAGGTGTATCAGACATGTATCAGACAAGCCTGTATCCAAGGACAGGTGTATCAGACAAGCCTGTATCCAAGGACAGGTGTATTGGACAGGTATCAGAAATACATGTATCCAAGGACAGGTGTATCAGACATGTATCAGAAATACATGTATCCAAGGACATGTATCAGAAATACTTGTACCAAGGACAGGTGTATAAGACATGTATCAGAAATATTTGTATCCAAAGACATGTATCAGAAATATCTGTACTCACTGACAGGTGTATCAGACATGTATCAGAAATACCTGTATCCAAGGACAGGTGTATCAGACATGTATCAGAAATATCTGTACCATCAGACATGTATCAGAAATACCTGTATCCAAGGACAGGTGTATCAGACATGTATCAGAAATATCTGTACCATCAGACATGTATCAGAAATACCTGTATCCAAGGACAGGTGTATCAGACATGTATCAGAAATATCTGTATCCAAGGACAGGTGTATCAGACATGTATCAGAAATACCTGTATCCAAGGACAGGTGTATCAGACATGTATCAGAAATACCTGTATCCAAGGACATGTATCAGAAATACCTGTATCCAAGGACAGGTGTATCAGACAAGTATCATAAATACATGTATGCAAGGACAGGTGTATCAGACATGTATCAGAAATACCTGTATCCAAGGACAGGTGTATCAGACATGTATCAGAAATACCTGTATCCAAGGACAGGTGTATCAGACATGTATCAGAAATATCTGTATCCAAGGACAGGTGTATCAGACATGTATCAGAAATACCTGTATCCAAGGACAGGTGTATCAGACATGTATCAGAAATACCTGTATCCAAGGACATGTATCAGAAATACCTGTATCCAAGGACAGGTGTATCAGACAAGTATCATAAATACATGTATGCAAGGACAGGTGTATCAGACATGTATCAGAAATACCTGTATCCAAGGACAGGTGTATCAGACATGTATCAGAAATACCTGTATCCAAGGACAGGTGTATCAGACATGTATCAGAAATACCTGTATCCAAGGACATGTATCAGAAATACCTGTATCCAAGGACAGGTGTATCAGACAAGTATCATAAATACATGTATGCAAGGACAGGTGTATCAGACATGTATCAGAAATACCTGTATCCAAGGACAGGTGTATCAGACATGTATCAGAAATACCTGTATCCAAGGACAGGTGTATCAGACATGTATCAGAAATACCTGTATCCAAGGACAGGTGTATCAGACATGTATCAGAAATACCTGTATCCAAGGACAGGTGTATCAGACATGTATCAGAAATACCTGTATCCAAGGACAGGTGTATCAGACATGTATCAGAAATACCTGTATCCAAGGACATGTATCAGAAATACCTGTATCCAAGGACAGGTGTATCAGACAAGTATCATAAATACATGTATGCAAGGACAGGTGTATCAGACATGTATCAGAAATACCTGTATCCAAGGACAGGTGTATCAGACATGTATCAGAAATACCTGTATCCAAGGACAGGTGTATCAGACATGTATCAGAAATACCTGTATCCAAGGACACATATAGTTATATACATTATTTTGGAGTTAAAGCTTATTGTTACACTTAGATTTAATTACTTCACTTTGTTGAATATAAACAGGTTAGGGATTACTTGCTATGAGAATGTTGATCTTCACTGACAGAAATTTTTTTATATTGAAGGAGCTGGGAGTTAATCATTTTAAGACAACATTCCATGTTGACCATTATCACAACACCTCTTTGTATCATTTTATCAAAGACCTAAGCCAAATTTCAGTATGGCAGTTCCAGCATCAGACATGCTGTAAAGTATATATCATGGAAACTACCAAATACGTCCGTCAGCATAAGCAGGGTGTGCGAGTCGGTAAGCGTGACGTTTCCATGACTCGTCTGTCGTTCGCTGAATAAGTCGTCTGTGATCTTTGTCTTCCTGTTGCTGCAGTTTGCGCCGATTTTCCAGGTCCTCCCTGAAAAAGTAAGACAAGTTAATTTTAACTTAATTTATGACACCAGACACTGTCAACAGAGATTTGGATTAACCAAAAGCTGTTTTTGGGACCAACTTCTAAATTTTCAGTTCATAGAACTTCAGAGAAATGAAATCAATTATATAATTAAATTAAAGTAGAATGTCAAAATGTAAAGTTGCAAAGAATGAGTTTTAAAAACTTACAATGGAACACGAAAGTTTGAGCATTATATATCAGTGCTTGATATTTAATTTTATGTTCAATGTTCTATAGTTATACAATAAATGTAAATATATATTTAACAATTGGTAAATAAATACACAATGTATTCATTAATTTGTAAATATATGAAAATCATCCAATGTTTTGTCAAAGTAGACATTTGATCAAAATTGTTTGGGAGATGATATTGCCTGGATATTTAATGTAACATGCCCAGACAGGTTAGACAGACAATGGTTTATGACACCACAAACAGATACAAACTTTCAATTAATGATACAGGGTTCCATTCATTCTTCAAACTACTGACCATGACTTATACAGAAGCATCAAAGTTATTATAACATGTGTTTACTAACCTAGCCTTAGCTTGCGATTCTGTGTTTGCTTCATCATCGACGTTCACCTTCACCGGAGATATCAAGAATGCCTGACCAAATATGGTGGCCTGAAAAAGGAAGATTGACATCGTAAAAACAATCCATATTCTGAAGATTTTTAAGTATCATGAAAAGAATCTGACTACAAAATAAATCTCACTCATTTTATAGAGGTCATGTATTGATTTAACAAAAAGTACTAAAGTATCTATTCAAAACAAACTAATAGAAAGTGTAATTTACATTAGATATGACCCTATTATAGTAAATTAATATAACATGAAATTTCTAGAAGAGCTTCATATGTGACCTAATGTTGTTGTGTCAGCTGACTGGTGTATAGTTACCATGTCTGATGTTATATGTGACCTAATGTTGTTGTGACAGCTGACTGGTGTATAGTTACCATGTCTGATGTTATATGTGACCTAATGTTGTTGTGACAGCTGACTGGTGTATAGTTACCATGTCTGATGTTATATGTGACCTAATGTTGTTGTGTCAGCTGACTGGTGTATAGTTACCATGTCTGATGTTATATGTGACCTAATGTTGTTTGGTCAGCTGACTGGTGTATAGTTACCATGTCTGATGTTATATGTGACCTAATGTTGTTGTGTCAGCTGACTGGTGTATAGTTACCATGTCTGATGTTATATGTGACCTAATGTTGTTGTGTCAGCTGACTGGTGTATAGTTACCATGTCTGATGTTATATGTGACCTAATGTTGTTGTGTCAGCTAACTGGTGTATAGTTACCATGTCTGATGTTATATGTGACCTAATGTTGTTGTGTCAGCTGACTGGCGTATAGTTACCATGTCTGATGTTATATGTGACCTAATGTTGTTGTGTCAGCTGACTGGCGTATAGTTACCATGCCAGAGTCAAAGAACTTGAGAGCCTTGGCGACAGATTCCTTGTCTCCAAGGAGAGCCCAACCAACTCCATTAATGCTTCTGGTCACAGGATCCTGAAATAACAATCATGTTAACAGTGTACTATTTTAATCAACAAAACATAATCAACATCACAACACAAAAAAGAATAATTTGCAATCACTAACTATGAAAATGAATGGAAAAAAGAAATGAAATGAAAGTTATAATCATTGGTTATGTCCCTTTGTAGGTATTCACAGACATAAGTATTAAGTTATAACAGTAATCATTAATTATGTCCTTTTGCTAAGTAGTCACTGACTTAAAAGTTTCCATTTGTTACAACCTTAAACTGACCTTCATGAGGCAGACCTCCTCAAGGTTACAGTCAGCCTCCATCTCAAGTAGTGCTTCGACCTTCTGTCTCGTTGTGTTACCTGGTAAGTTACAGAGATAAGTGACCAAATCTCTGCTGTTTGCCACCTACAGGGATAAATGTCAGAAAAATATAGAAATCAAACCATCTTAATTCCATTTAGACAAATTGAAACTGGACAATCGGTCAGGAATGTTTTCTATTGATGTTGTAAGGAAAAATATCACCATATATCACAGTCCTTATTACATAACTACCCTGTTATCAGTGTAATAACACCCACTACATAACTACTCTGTTATCAGTGTAATAACACCCATTACATTACTACCCCGTTATCAGTGTATTAACACCCATTACATTACTACCCTGTTATCAGCGTAATAACATCCATAACATAACTACCCTGTTATCAGAGTTATAACACCCATTATATAACTACAGTGTTATCAGTGTAATAACACCCATTACATAGCTACCCTGTTATCAGTGTAATAACACCCATAACATAACTTCCCTGTTATCAGTGTAATAACATCCATAACATAACTACCCTGTTATCAGTGTAATAACACCCATTACATAACTACCCTGTTATCAGTGTAACAACACCCATCATTTATCTACCCTGTTATCAGTGTTATAACACCCATTTCATAACTACAGTGTTATCAGTGTAAGAACACCCATTACATAACTACCCTGTTATCATTGTAATACCATCCATAACATAACTACCCTGTTATCAGTGTTATAACACCCATTATATAACTACAGTGTTATCAGTGTAAGAACACCCATTACATAACTACCCTGTTATCAGTGTAATAACACCCATAACATAACTACCCTGTTATCAGTGTTATAACACCCATAACATAACTACACTATTATCAGTGTAATAACACCCATTACATAACTACCCTGTTATCAGTGTAACAACACCCATCATTTATCTACCCTGTTATCAGTGTTATAACACCCATTTCATAACTACCCTGTTATCAGTGTAATAATACCGATTACAAACCTACCCTGTTATCAGTGTTACAACACCCATTTCATAACTACCCTGTTATCAGTGTAATAACACCTATTACATACTACCCCGTTATCAGTGTATTAACACCCATGATATAACTACCCTGTTATCAGTGTAATAACACCCATTACATAACTACCCTGTTATCAGTGTAATAACACCTATTACATAACTACCCTGTTATCAGTGTAATAACACCTATTACATAACTACCCTGTTACAAATTTTGTTGTGTACCTGTAGCCATGATGGGGCATCTGTTGTAGGTTTGTTTGAGCCGGTAATCATCTTCCATTCCTCTCCGGACCAGACACATACATCACTGTCTACAACAATATTACATCATTATCATCTTTGCTTTTAATTATTGTACAAAATGACAACAGAAAATATTACCACTTAGGGACAATGTATCATGTCATCATCCTATCATCAAATCTAGAACAGAAATGTAACAATATCTCCATTCACACAATCCTGACTACAGTAACACAACATTCCCTCCAGTCACACAATACTGACAACAGACTACAGTAACACAACATTCCCTCTTGTCACACAATACTGACAACAGACTACAGTAACACATTCCCTCCAGTCATACAATACTGACAACAGACTACAGTAACACATTCCCTCCAGTCACACAATACTGACAACAGACTACAGTAACACAAGATTCCCTCTTGTCACACAATACTGACAACAGACTACAGTAACACAACATTCCCTCCAGTCACACAATACTGACAACAGACTACAGTAACACAACATTCCCTCTTGTCACACAATACTGACAACAGACTACAGTAACACAACATTCCCTCCAGTCACACAATACTGACAACAGACTACAGTAACACAACATTCCCTCCAGTCACACAATACTGACAACAGACTACAGTAACACATTCCATCCAGTCACACAATACTGACAACAGACTACAGTAACACAACATTCCCTCCAGTCACACAATACTGACAACAGACTACAGTAACACAACATTCCCTCCAGTCACACAATATGACAACAGACTACAGGAACACATTCCATCCAGTCACACAATACTGACAACAGACTACAGTAACACATTCCATCCAGTCACACAATACTGACAACAGACTACAGTAACACATTCCATCCAGTCACACAATACTGACAACAGACTACAGTAACACAAGATTCCCTCCAGTCACACAATACTGACAACAGACTACAGTAACACATTCCATCCAGTCACACAATACTGACAACAGACTACAGTAACACAAGATTCCCTCCAGTCACACAATACTGACAACAGACTACAGTAACACATTCCATCCAGTCACACAATATGACAACAGACTACAGTAACACAACATTCCCTCCAGTCACACAATACTGACAACAGACTACAGTAACACATTCCATCCAGTCACACAATATGACAACAGACTACAGTAACACAACATTCCCTCTTGTCACACAATACTGACAACAGACTACAGTAACACATTCCATCCAGTCACACAATATGACAACAGACTACAGTAACACAAGATTCCCTCTTGTCACACAATACTGACAACAGACTACAGTAACACATTCCATCCAGTCACACAATATGACAACAGACTACAGTAACACAAGATTCCCTCTTGTCACACAATACTGACAACAGACTACAGTAACACAACATTCCCTCCAGTCACACAATATGACAACAGACTACAGTAACACATTCCATCCAGTCACACAATACTGACAACAGACTACAGTAACACATTCCATCCAGTCACACAATACTGACAACAGACTACAGTAACACAAGATTGCCTCCAGTCACACAATACTGACAACAGACTACAGTAACACATTCCATCCAGTCACACAATACTGACAACAGACTACAGTAACACAAGATTCCCTCCAGTCACACAATACTGACAACAGACTACAGTAACACATTCCATCCAGTCACACAATATGACAACAGACTACAGTAACACAAGATTCCCTCCAGTCACACAATACTGACAACAGACTACAGTAACACATTCCATCCAGTCACACAATATGACAACAGACTACAGTAACACAACATTCCCTCTTGTCACACAATACTGACAACAGACTACAGTAACACAACATTCCCTCTTGTCACACAATACTGACAACAGACTACAGTAACACAACATTCCCTCCAGTCACACAATACTGACAACAGACTACAGTAACACAACATTCCCTCCAGTCACACAATACTGACAACAGACTACAGTAACACAACATTCCCTCCAGTCATACAATCCTGACTACAGTAACACAACATTCCCTCCAGTCACACAATACTGACAACAGACTACAGTAACACAACATTCCCTCCAGTCACACAATACTGACAACAGACTACAGTAACACATTCCATCCAGTCACACAATACTGACAACAGACTACAGTAACACATTCCATCCAGTCACACAATACTGACAACAGACTACAGTAACACATTCCATCCAGTCACACAATACTGACAACAGACTACAGTAACACAAGATTCCCTCCAGTCACACAATACTGACAACAGACTACAGTAACACAAGATTCCCTCCAGTCACACAATACTGACAACAGACTACAGTAACACATTCCATCCAGTCACACAATATGACAACAGACTACAGTAACACAAGATTCCCTCCAGTCACACAATACTGACAACAGACTACAGTAACACATTCCATCCAGTCACACAATATGACAACAGACTACAGTAACACAACATTCCCTCCAGTCACACAATACTGACAACAGACTACAGTAACACATTCCATCCAGTCACACAATACTGACAACAGACTACAGTAACACATTCCATCCAGTCACACAATACTGACAACAGACTACAGTAACACATTCCCTTCAGTCACACAATACTGACAAAAGACTACAGTAACACATTCCATCCAGTCACACAATACTGACAACAGACTACAGTAACACAAGATTCCCTCCAGTCACACAATACTGACAACAGACTACAGTAACACAACATTCCCTCCAGTCACACAATATGACAACAGACAAAGTTACACAACATTCCCTCCAGTCTCACAATACTGACAACAGACTACAGTAACACAACACTCCCTCCAGTCACACAATACTGACAACAGACTACAGTAACACAACATTCCCTCTTGTCACACAATACTGACAACAGACTACAGTAACACAACACTCCCTCCAGTCACACAATACTGACAACAGACTACAGTAACACATTCCCTCCAGTCACACAATACTGACAACAGACTACAGTAACACAACATTCCCTCTTGTCACACAATACAGACAACAGACTACAGTAACACAACATTCCCTCTTGTCACACAATACTGACAACAGAATACAGTAACACAACATTCCCTCCAGTCACACAATACTGACAACAGACTACAGTAACACAACATTCCCTCCAGTCACACAATATGACAACAGACTACATTAACACAACATTCCCTCTTGTCACACAATATGACAACAGACAAAGTTACATAACATTCCCTCTTGTCACACAATATGACAACAGACACATTCCATCCAGTCACACAATACTTAACACTTACTTCAAGCGTAATATTGAGCATTAAGACCTATTAGTGTATTTATAAGAAGTGTGTTTATCGTGCTTCTGAATGTAACTTGAAACATGTGCTTTGAGAGAAAACACCAAACAGGAAGTCCAGAAACAAGGTACCTGTATTTATATTTACTTATGTGTTGTTGGAAAAGATAAAAGTTATTTCTCTGTCATTTTTACTGAATTTCTTTTACTTAACAGACGCTCACTGCTAACAGAGTCACGTTATTATGGTTGTACTTGAATACTGACTTTATCTGGAGACACTGTTGTCTATGCTTTCATTAGACTTTGTGATGTAAAATCACCATCAATCAGTCTATCATTATTGGTGTCAGTTTTAACCTACCTATTCCCTTCAGGAAAGCAGAGATGATCTGACTGTCAGCAAATGAGAGATTGGGCAGTTTTTCCTTGGCATAATCTGTCTGTATCCGTGGACTGTCCAGACTAGATCCGAGTTTACCTATCCACAGACACAAAACACTTAAGTCATTAAATATACATTACAAATATTTTCTAATGAGCTTAACATTTTGACCGGTTTGTATTTTTGTTCTGTTTGATGTCAAAGGTATGTAAATCATATTTGTAAACATTTTATTATAATACAAATAAACTTTACTTACTAAATCAACCCCCCACCTACCCTCCCGGGTAGACAGTGATATTAACTTAGAATGTCGGGTAGACATGTGATATTAACTTAGAATGTCGGGTAGACAGTGATATTAACTTAGAATGTCAGGTAGACAGTGATATTAACTTAGAATGTCAGGTAGACAGTGATATTAACTTAGAATGTCGGGTAGACATGTGATATTAACTTAGAATGTCGGGTAGACATGTGATATTAACTTAGAATGTCAGGTAGACAGTAATTATGTCAAAGTTTTCAAGTTGTAAGGTCTTCATCTTGATTAAGTTACCTCCCTTGTGATTTAGGCATCAGAAATCCAATACAACATGTTTATTACCTTGTTGACAAATCTGGAAGGTCTGCAATAGCCTTTGACTTGAAATTCCAGTTGGAAATGCATGTTTGGTTATAACAAGTATTCTTGTAAATAATAGTCATTAGACCTGCTTTTAAATACTGTCCTAAACCTAGTTGACTGATTCACTGACTGATCACAGAAATAGTTTGAACCTACCGGGGTTCCCACCAAGGGGAGACAATTTAACAACAAGTCCTTCAGGTAAATTAGGTCGATCAGAACAGCTTTGGACAACTTCACCGTCCTTCATTTCCACTTTAAAACCTAGAACAAGAAATTTGAGATGAAAAGGGACATAAGTGATTATTATTTACTAAATAAATGTGATTTCTTAGCTAGGAGTAGCATTACACCAACACAACGAACATGATGTAATCGCATGATTTATTAAGGGTTTGAAGCAAATATTGACATCCTTCAGAAATAGTTGTAAAATAAGTAAGGTTCTACAAGATAATATAAAACAATTTCTGTATTAAATCTATCATAGATTTAGCAATCATATTGTATCCCCAGGTTCAAAGAAAATAAGTTTAATAGTCTTTGTTTAAGAGAATATTTTCAATAGAAACTTTCATCTCAAATGAAAATTACTACCAAAAACAAAACCCTAATGTGAAAATAACAACAAACAAAGATGAAGTTATGACTGAATTTCTCCACATATTTACCTAATGACTTGGCAAGTGTTTTGAAGACCTCATCCATATCTCCTTCGTCCATCCCACGACTCTGATTTTGTAGATAAAGAGTTCGTAGTGGAGACTTGCCTCCCATCACAGAGGCCAGACTCACTAAACCTGCTTTCCCTAAAACACAAACATATTGGTTAATTTTACTGGTATCACCCCAACTGTACATAATAAACAGGCATTAGGTTTTCCTACCTTGAATTAACGTACAACTGTACATAATAAACAGGCATTAGGTTTTCCTACCTTGAATTAACGTACAACTGTACATAATAAACAGGCATTAGGTTTTCCTACCTTGAATTAACGTACAACTGTACATAATAAACAGGCATTAGGTTTTCCTACCTTGAATTAACGTACAACTGTACCAGTGATTAAATTTACTTTGACTGATTATTTTGACATCACAAAATTACTGCAGAATCTTGAACCTGATTTACAAATAATGTAATTACCTAAATTTTCCTGAATTTCCAATTTTACCTGGCTTTTCCAACCACACCCAACTTTACCTGGCTTTTCCAACCACAACCAACTTTACCTGGCTTTTCCAACCACACCCAACTTTACCTGGCTTTTCCAACCACAACCAACTTTACCTGGCTTTTCCAACCACACCCAACTTTACCTGGCTTTTCCAACCACACCCAACTTTACCTGGCTTTTCCAACCACAACCAACTTTACCTGGCTTTTCCAACCACACCCAACTTTACCTGACTTTTCCAACTACAACCAACTTTACCTGGCTTTTCCAACCACACCCAACTTTACCTGGCTTTTCCAACCACACCCAACTTTACCTGGCTTTTCCAACCACACCCAACTTTACCTGACTTTTCCAACCACAACCAATTTTACCTGGCTTTTCCAACTACAACCAACTTTACCTGACTTTTCCAACTGCAACCAACTTTACCCGGCTTTTCCAACCACACCCAAATTTAACTGACTTTTCCAACCACAACCAACTTTACCTGACTTTTCCAACTACAACCAACTTTACCTGGCTTTTCCAACCACACCCAACTTTACCTGACTTTTCCAACTACAACCAACTTTACCTGGCTTTTCCAACCACACCCAACATTACCTGGCTTTTTCAACCACACCCAACTTTACCTGGCTTTTCCAACCACACCCAACTTTACCTGACTTTTCCAACCACAACCAATTTTACCTGGCTTTTCCAACTACAACCAACTTTACCTGACTTTTCCAACTGCAACCAACTTTACCCGGCTTTTCCAACCACACCCAAATTTAACTGACTTTTCCAACCACAACCAACTTTACCTGACTTTTCCAACTACAACCAACTTTACCTGGCTTTTCCAACCACACCCAACTTTACCTGACTTTTCCAACTACAACCAACTTTACCTGGCTTTTCCAACCACACCCAAATTTAACTGACTTTTCCAACCACAACCAACTTTAACCGACTTTTCCAAACTTTCAACACTTAACATGATTTACACTGTACATGTGACTTACCTGATTGACTTACTTATTATTCTGTCTTTACAGTGTATAACATGACGTATACAAGGTAACTTTATCTGTCCTCTTTATTGACCTTCTGTTCTTGACATTTCCTAACTGAACTTGACTTCACCAAATTTAATTTATTTCACCTGACTTGACTCATCAAAATAACTTTCTAATTTCCTTCACTTAGTGGTTCCTTATCTAGATAACTTCACAATACGAAGGTGATGAAGCCATTAAACACTGAAGTTTAACCTGCCATGGTTATTTTCAAGATAAGGAAATTATTTACAGAGTACTATATTGATCACTATAGGTTTAAAGTGCAAAGTTCAAAGGTTAACATGCAATCAAGATTCAAAGTGTAAAGTTCAAAGGTTAAGTTTCTATCAAAGTCAGTTCTTACCGAGGTCATTGGAGCTGACATTGAGGCTATGTAGTTGAGATGTATGGCTTTTTGTATTGAACAGCTTGGCTAGTGACACTGCTCCTTCATCTGTCATCTGTATAAAAACACTGATTTATTTAAGGCTATCTAAAATACACTTCAGGGAAAAAATACTTCAACAATTCCTAGATAACTCAGTGAATTAAACTAACACAAGACTGAAAAACAGTTAATACTGAAAATTTTGGGAATTTTTTTCAAATGGTTAAGATTTTTGTGGTTTACCAAATGCCAAATAGAATGCAGTTGTCAAAGAAATAATTATTTACACTTCACTGTTATTTATATATTTTTTTTTCAACGGGTCTAATTTTCACGCCTTTTTTCATCTCCAATGATGATAATTATTATAAAAAAGACACACATGTGAGCAACACCTTTAAATACAAACTTGGTATTAGAATAGTAGAACCAATTAAAAAAAATCAAACAGCATTATATACCAGTTTCGTCCTTTCTTCTGTGATGTACAGGGCCTAAATTTTGAAGCTGAGGAGGCGAATGAGATCAATAACAAGAAAAAAAAATTAAAATGTATGTAGGGAGGAATAGTAGCCCGAAAATAGGACCCTTTAAAATTAACAATAACTACAGCATGGAAAACCTTAACAAAAATGTTTGAAGATCAGAAGGAAAATGTACTGATAATGAAAAACTGGGTTAAAATGTATTCCTATGTTGTGGACTAATTGTGGTGAAGAAATTCTTATTGATCAGGTACTGAACTGTTATGTAGAATATTAGTTCTTTGGACGAAATAAGGTAAAACTGAAGTTTTGATGTTTGAAGGACTTTGGAGCTGTATACCTATATGTACACTAGGAGAGACACATAAGGGCCCCAGCACTCACTGTATTGTCAGACACGTCCAGCACTGCCAGGGGGTGTGTCTTGTTACTAAGTACTGCCTCCACCAAGTCAGTCACGCCTTTGTTCTCCAACCGATTGGATGAGACTTTTAGCATGTGTAGCTTGAGGCCCTTCTGAATGGCCTGACACAAAGGAGCAATATCTGTGACAGATAAGGAGCATGCTCCAACACTCAGGGTCGTCAGGGATCCGCCAGGAGAACTCTCTGTTGTAAAAGAGTGATTATAGTCCTCTTTAAGGAAGAAAAATTCGAAATTAATATTGACCCAAATCTACTATTTGGTTGTCCCTGTTAGAGAAAAGTGAGAAAAAAGACTTAACATATTCTATTTCTCATGAGGACAGTGTATGAAAACCATTGCTATGGGTGTGGTTTGTGCTTAAAGATTCTATTTCTCATACAAACTACAGTTACAATACAACAGTGAGGGCAATGTTGAATCATTGAAAGACAGCTAGAAACAATCATCAATATTCCACTTGGACACATATGGTCTATTATAACAAAATATTACTTGTAATCTTAAGTATAAATGATCCTACTTCTGTCCATATACTATTGCAAACTGGTGGACCATTTCACTCACTAATCAGACCAAACAACACATCACTTTCTATAATTACAAATGATAAATCCTCACCATGTTCTCACATCTGCCTATCCCCATATCCCTATCCTTTCTTCCACATTTGTTACCTGGTAGATGGGAGATAAACCTATTTATTACCCGGTAGATGGGAGATAAACCTATTTGTTACCTGGTAGATGGGAGATAAACCTATTTGTTACCTGGTAGATGGGAGATAAACCTATTTGTTATCTGGTAGATGGGAGATAAACCTATTTGTTACCTGGTAGATGGGAGATAAACCTATTTGTTACCTGGTAGATGGGAGATAAACCTATTTGTTACCTGGTAAAAGGGAGATAATCCTTTTCATGAATCACTTACCCAGCAGTTTCTGTAGGATATCAGTGTTAGCAATCTTCTGACCATCCAGAATCAGAGTTGTCAGGCTGCCTCCTTGACCCTTATAGAGGTTAGGTAACAGTTGGACATCGGTCAATTTGGACTTCCTCACGTTAAGGTAGTGAAGATTTGGAAACTGACCACTGGTCAACTGTTCTGTAAGGCCAGTTGTGTTCCTCATTAGACTGTACTTCAACTTTCGCAATACACTGGGGATTCCATCAGCTAGTAAGTAGAGAATTAATACCCAACAACAGTGCATCACTAGTATGTCAATATCTCAATCAATTATCTTAGGTTTAAACTTTATTAGATTTTAAAACGGAAGAGATTTTCTATTACCTGAGGTCATTTCAGCCACTGTCATCAGACATTTTGGTGTCAGTTCATCATTTGCACCAATGTCAAGGTCAATAAGTGGCAGTTGTCTGCCCTTGAGAAGAGTAGCAATGGAAGATAAAAAGTTATCCGTGATTTTCGAGCTGTTGAGGCTGAGAAATTGAAGGTTTGGCTTCACTTCCGGGCGGACACAAGATTTAACAGCTGTAAGAAGACAACAGATAAGACAAACACTCAGCTGTATGTATTTACTTTCTAGACATAACTTGATTTCTAGACATTTTATCTAAAGTTCTGAACTGCAATTGATACATTCAAAGAAAACTAGTCTTTCCCTCTCTGTGACTGATACCCCTTGCTAGACTCCCTGTGACAATGTGAAGTATGTATACTCACCCTCTATAGTACAGGCTGTATCCTGGATCTGGATGTTGTCTAGACTGAGGTTAGTTATACTAGGATGGGTCGCGGCAGTCACTACGACCTTCAGTAAGGTCATCATGCTCCCAAACTATAATACATATGTCTTAAATCAGATGATTTTTATATTGAAAAATATCTTAAACTAATCAGGAAGTCCTATATCATATATATACATAATCATTCTTTATATATGTTTATTGTTGTTTATTGTTGTTTTTTGTTGTTTATTGTTTTTTGTTGTTTTGATCACCACTAAGATACAATACAGCAGTGAATCAATGTCCAGATCATTAATAGTTTTCTCTAAAAACTGTAACCATTGTTATTTTATGTTCAAGACCAAATTTGATTAAAACCACTCTCAGAATCAGACCAGGAAAAAATCCTCCATTTGGGAAAACCGAAAATTTCAGATTATAGGTTAAGTTCTTTGTCAAAAATCTATCTGAAGATGACATCTTCCAAATCCACAATAAACTAATCATGTGACTTTTGTTTTTGTGATCCACAAGAAAAACAAACACCTACCATGTTTCCATTGAGGTTGAGTTCAGCCATAGATGTATTACTCTCTAAACCTTCCCTGATAATTTCTATACTCGACTCCTTTAGTTCACAGTTCCCCAAGGCCAGAGTTCGAAGTCCACAGTCAGCACGCTACAACACATACTTCATAAGCAATCACATATCTACACATGCTATGTATTTTAATTTCTTAGATTTAATTTTTTAAGGAAGAGAATATGCCTGTTTGAAAATTTATTGTAAGAAAGGCATTAAAACACATCAGAAGTAAATGTACAAAACAAAATATTTATCAAAACATTTTAAATCATTGATGTCAAGGGGAGGTAATAACAGATATTCCTAACGGACCTACCTTGAGTATGTGTGCAAAGCCTGTAGCGACACCAACTGAATCAGAGAAAGAGTTAGTACTGAAGTCTATCTCTGTTAGACTTGTGTTTTCCTTCACTCCCTCCATCAACACGCGTAAGTCCCTCATCCCTATACTCTTGGCCCTAAAAAGATAACAATATAATTCTACTTCATCTTATCACAGATTTTTTTATATCAATCTCAAAGCCAATATTTGAAGGAAATTGTAACAAAGATTTACTTGGAAGTTTTCAACACACCTTAAATAGTTTTGCAGTGAAATATGACACTTTACTTTAAATATACATGAAACTTCTATACAAACACAGATAACTAGATCTCCTATGAACAGCCAAGGTCAATTTTCTGTATGATGATGTAATACTACTTAGGAGAAAGTGGAGAAACCACTTACCGCAGAGTGGAGCAACATAACTTAACTGGTCACCTGTGGGTAGGGCAACATATCTTACCTGAAGGTAGGGCAACACTTTTTATCTGAGGTTAGGGCAACACTTCTTGTCTGAGGGTAGGGCAACACTTCTTGTCTGAGGGTAGGGCAACACTTCTTGTCTGAGGGTAGGGAAACACTTCTCATCTGAGGGTAGGGCAACACTTCTTGTCTGAGGGTAGGGCAACACTTCTTGTCTGAGGGTAGGGCAACACTTCTCATCTGAGGGTAGGGCAACACTTCTTGTCTGAGGGTAGGGAAACACTTCTTATCTGAGGGAAGGGCAACACTTCTCATCTGAGGGTAGGGCAACACTTCTTGTCTGAGGGTAGGGCAACACTTCTTGTCTGAGGGTAGGGCAACACTTCTTGTCTGAGGGTAGGGCAACACTTCTTGTCTGAGGGTAGGGCAACGCTTCTTGTCTGAGGGTAGGGCAACGCTTCTTATCTGAGGGTAGGGCAACGCCTCTTATCTGAGGGTAGGGCAACGCCTCTAATCTGAGGGTAGGGCAACACTTCTTGTCTGAGGGTAGGGCAACACTTCTTATCTGAGGGACGGGTGATATCTCTTACCTGAGGGACGGGTGATATTTCTTACGTGAGGGACGGGTGATACTTCTTACCTGAGGGACGGGTGATATTTCTTACCTGAGGGACGGGTGATATTTCTTACCTGAGGGACAGGTGATATCACTTACCTAAGAGTCTGTAATGTGTTGTTGGTTTTCAGGGTTGGACCCACACATTTGGAGAAGTAGTCGATGCCGAGGTTGTTGTTAGAGACGTCTAGGTAAACTAAAGTCTGGTTCATACTTAACATACGTCCTATACATTCCTGTAGTACAGATATATCACATCATTATAGTCTGGTTCATGCTTAACATATGTACTATACATTAATATACAAGCCATCTGGATACAGTGTTGTGGACCAGTACTTAATAGGGATGAGGGGGGCAACAGACTTTCGCACATCTATGACCTAGTGTTAAACAAAGCGTAGTCTAAGAAACTATAGTACATTGTTACCATCTCCTGTATTTTGGTCTATAATCTGCTTACCATCTCATCACAATATTTTTTATCTAAGTTTACATGGGACTACAGTACAGTAAAAACATTTTTTAGCATCTCTTACACTACCTACTTCAGTGCTAGTACGCTTCGCACTGGTCAGTTGTCTGATGAAGATGAACGTGTAGTCACTGAAACATCACACACTAATCTTCTACTGGTTGTGGTATAAGATGAAGGTGACCGTGTAGTCATGGAAACGTCACACTCTAATCTTCTACTGGTTGTGTTATAAGATGAAGGTGACCGTGTAGTCATGGAAACGTCACACTCTAATCTTCTACTGGTTGTGTTATAGGATGAAGGTGACCGTGTAGTCATGGAAACGTCACACTCTAATCTTCTACTGGTTGTGTTATAAGATGAAGGTGACCGTGTAGTCATGGAAACGTCACACTCTAATCTTCTACTGGTTGTGTTATGAGATGAAGATGACCGTGTTGTCATGGAAACGTCACATCACACTCTAATCTTCTACTGGATGTGTTATAAGATGAAGATGACCGTGTAGTCATGGAAACGTCACACTCTAATCTTCTACTGGTTGTGGTATAAGATGAAGGTGACCGTGTAGTCATGGAAACATCACACTCTAATCTTCTACTGGTTGTGGTATAAGATGAAGGTGACCGTGTAGTCATGGAAACATCACACTCTAATCTTCTACTGGTTGTGGTATAAGATGAAGATGACTGTGTAGTCATGGAAACATCACACTCTAATCTTCTACTGGTAGTGTTATAAGATGAAGGTTGTCGTGTAGTCATGGAAACATCACACTCTAATCTTCTACTGGATGTGTTATAAGATGAAGGTGACCGTGTAGTCATGGAAACGTCACACTCTAATCTTCTACTGGATGTGTTATAAGATGAAGGTGACCGTGTAGTCATGGAAACGTCACACTCTAATCTTCTACTGGTTGTGTTATAAGATGAAGGTGACCGTGTAGTCATGGAAACGTCACACTTCTACTGGATGTGTTATAAGATGAAGGTGACCGTGTAGTCATGGAAACATCACACTCTAATCTTCTACTGGTTGTGGTATAAGATGAAGGTGACCGTGTAGTCATGGAAACATCACACTCTAATCTTCTACTGGATGTGTTATAAGATGAAGGTTGTCGTGTAGTCATGGAAACATCACACTCTAATCTTCTACTGGTAGTGTTATAAGATGAAGGTGACTGTGTAGTCATGGAAACATCACACTCTAATCTTCTACTGGTTGTGTTATAGGAATTTCTATTCTATCCAGCTGCAAATCTTGTCTTATCAAAGATGTATCATTCATCATGCTGTAACCCCCAGGGTCCCACACACAATTTCTAACTCTAATTAGGGGGTGGGGTTTATTACAGGACAATAGGGGAGTATTTGCTGATATTTACAGGACATAGCTATTTATGGTCTTAAATATCAGGTTTTACTTACAAATAATTATTCATTATTGTCAATATCTTATATATATCTGAATAAATATTCTAAACAAATTTGAAAAACAAAAAATCTCAAAAACATGGTGTCAGGTATAAATTACTAAATCAAAATGAATTTTTGTAAAAAAACTAGGGAGCGTTTATTGAATGGCCCCGCCTCCTACGTAAACAATAATTTTATCAGGTGTAGATTGTTTATTTTTACTTTATGTCCTATTAACAGCCAGGGTATTTAAGGATTGACCAGGTCTCAGTAGTGAAAGAAAGCTGAAGTTCGTGGAGAAAAACCACACACCTGCAGTCAGTACCTGGTGACTGCCCTATATAGGCCTCGAACTCATGACCCAGAACAGGTGAGTTTGTGATAAATGTGGACAGATGCATGAACCACTTGGAAACTGCTGCCACTACATCAGATGTAGAACTTGATGATATGGTACTTTGGAGGTACCATGAACCAAATCTTTGTAGAGATTCTGAAGACGTGACAATGATTTAGATCAGGATACAATGGGATGGGAAGAGTAATGACAAGACTGGGGGATATGATTAACACTGTATTCCTTCTCTCTCATAAACGGACAAAGGACAGAAATCATGATAAAAAGTTAGAAATAAGAGAATCACAGTGTTATGATAAACTTACGGATGTGTCAGTGTCTGTCTTGTTGTCAGACAGATTGAGGCAGAGAATAGATGAATTGTTACACATGGCGAGACAAACACTGCGGAAAGCCTGCGGTCCCATATTGTTGAAGGACAGGTCGAGTTCCTGCAAAAAACAGAAACAAAAAACTGGTTATAAAATAGTTACATTCCAAGTGATATTACTGACCTGTTATTGAGGTCGATGTCATGTATAAAGTGTAAAGAAAGAAAAACTGACAGTAGTTCACCTAACTATATACACAAATCTTATGTATTTTTGAGGAATCCATGTCTACACAGACTCATCCTTATTTTTAACATAAATTCTGTAAAAATTTAATCAACAGTTACTAGATACATAGAATATGTTTGTCGTCAAAATAATGATTATTGTTACGGTTTAATTTTTTCAGTCATCTCTGCCACAAAAAAAAAAAACGTTAAAATGTATGAACAAGCTCAGATAACTTAGAGCTACACTATATGCCTGTTTAACTCTGATTTGTTGATATGTATATTACTATTGAAAAAAAGATTCAATTGAAGGCCTCTCTAAGGAAGAGTGAAAAATACAAGTTCCTAATTTTCAGAATATTTTTACAATCTGCATCTTCACCATTGGTAATGATTATTCTGTTACTACTTCCTTTGACTAGATATGTTTACAGATCTAATGCTATACGAAAGGGGGCGTTACTGACCTGTACGTGAGTTAACTTGGTGAGAAGTTCGTGTAATTTGAAGTTGGACGGCAGTGCTCTCTGCAGATGTAATTTAGTGACATTCTGAACATTGAGTTTCTTTAACAAACTGTCTGGTTTAATGAGAAGGCATGCAGAACTAAGAGCATCATCAAATTTTCCCTGATCTTCTGGTTCAGGGGGGATAACTCTGTCCTCAATTTCCGGCATTTTGACACTTTCTTGTTGACCTGTGGGAGTTTCAGTTTCATTTGAATTTTCTGACACTTTTTGTTCCATGGTCTCAGTTCCTGAGTTATCTACCTCTGGTTTACGACCTGTAAGTATACAGACATACAAAAAAAATAAAAAGATAAAAATAGCTTAACTAACCTAGATATACATATACATTTAACTTTTCTCTGCCTAAATAACCTAGATATACATATACATTTAACTTTCTCAACCTAACTAACCTAGATATACATATACATTTAACTTTTCTCTACTTAACTAACCTAGATATACATATACATTTAACTTTTCTCTACCTAACTAAGCTAGATATACATATACATTTAACTTTCTCAGCCTAACTAACCTAGATATACATAAACATTTAACTTTTCTCTACCTAACTAACCTAGATATACATATACATTTAACTTTTCTCACTAACCTAGATATACATATACATTTAACTTTTCTCACTAACCTAGATATACATATACATTTAACTTTTCTCTACCTAAATAACCTAGATATACATAAACATTTAACTTTCTCAACCTAACTAACCTAGATATACATATACATTTAACTTTTCTCACTAACCTAGATATACATATACATTTAACTTTTCTCTACCTAACTAACCTAGATATACATATACATTTAACTTTTCCCAGCCTAACTAACCTAGATATACATATACATTTAACTTTTCTCAGTCTAACTAACCTAGATATACATATACATTTAACTTTTCTCAACCTAACTAACCTAGATATACATATACATTTAACTTTTCTCTACCTAACTAACCTAGATATACATATACATTTAACTTTTCTCTACCTAACTAACCTAGATATACATATACATTTAACTTTTCTCAACCTAACTAACCTAGATATACATATACATTTAACTTTTCTCAACCTAACTAACCTAGATATACATATACATTTAACTTTTCTCACTAACCTAGATATACATATACATTTAACTTTTCTCTACCTAACTAACCTAGATATACATATACATTTAACTTTTCCCAGCCTAACTAACCTAGATATACATAAACATTTAACTTTTCTCTACCTAACTAACCTAGATATACATATACATTTAACTTTTCTCACTAACCTAGATATACATATACATTTAACTTTTCTCACTAACCTAGATATACATATACATTTAACTTTTCTCTACCTAAATAACCTAGATATACATATACATTTAACTTTCTCAACCTAACTAACCTAGATATACATATACATTTAACTTTTCTCACTAACCTAGATATACATATACATTTAACTTTTCTCAACCTAACTAACCTAGATATACATATACATTTAACTTTTCTCAACCTAACTAACCTAGATATACATATACATTTAACTTTTCTCTACCTAACTAACCTAGATATACATATACATTTAACTTTTCTCACTAACCTAGATATACATATACATTTAACTTTTCTCAGCCTAACTAACCTAGATATACATATACATTTAACTTTTCTCAGTCTAACTAACCTAGATATACATATACATTTAACTTTTCTCTACCTAACTAACCTAGATATACATATACATTTAACTTTTCTCTACCTAACTAACCTAGATATACATATACATTTAACTTTTCTCAACCTAACTAACCTAGATATACATATACATTTAACTTTTCTCAACCTAACTAACCTAGATATACATATACATTTAACTTTTCTAACTAACCTAGATATACATATACATTTAACTTTTCTCAGTCTAACTAACCTAGATATACATATACATTTAACTTTTCTCTACCTACCTAACCTAGATATACATATACATTTAACTTTTCTCAACCTCACTAACCTAGATATACATATACATTTAACTTTTCTCAACCTCACTAACCTAGATATACATATACATTTAATTTTTCTCTACCTAACTAACCTAGATATACATATACATTTAACTTTTCTCTACCTAACTAACCTAGATATACATATACATTTAACTTTTCTCTACCTAACTAACCTAGATATACATATACATTTAACTTTTCTCTACCTAAATAACCTAGATATACATATACATTTAACTTTTCTCAACCTCACTAACCTAGATATACATATACATTTAACTTTTCTCAGTCTAACTAACCTAGATATACATATACATTTAACTTTTCTCAACCTCACTAACCTAGATATACATATACATTTAACTTTTCTCTACCTAACTAACCTAGATATACATATACATTTAACTTTTTTCTACCTAACTAACCTAGATATACATATACATTTAACTTTTCTCAACCTCACTAACCTAGATATACATATACATTTAACTTTTCTCAGTCTTACTAACCTAGATATACATATACATTTAACTTTTCTCACTAACCTAGATATACATATACATTTAACTTTTCTCTACCTAACTAACCTAGATATACATATACATTTAACTTTTCTCAACCTCACTAACCTAGATATACATATACATTTAACTTTCTCAGTCTTACTAACCTAGATATACATATACATTTAACTTTTCTCACTAACCTAGATATACATATACATTTAACTTTTCTCACTAACCTAGATATACATATACAATTAACTTTTCTCTACCTACCTAACCTAGATATACATATACATTTAACTTTTCTCACTAACCTAGATATACATAAACATTTAACTTTTCTCTACTTAACTAACCTAGATATACATATACATTTAACTTTTCTCTACTTAACTAACCTAGATATACATATACATTTAACTTTTCTCTACTTAACTAACCTAGATATACATATACATTTAACTTTTCTCAGTCTAACTAACCTAGATATACATATACATTTAACTTTTCTCAGTCTAACTAACCTAGATATACATATACATTTAACTTTTCTCACTAACCTAGATATACATATACATTTAACTTTTCTCACTAACCTAGATATACATAAACATTTAACTTTTCTCTACTTAACTAACCTAGATATACATATACATTTAACTTTTCTCTACTTAACTAACCTAGATATACATATACATTTAACTTTTCTCACTAACCTAGATATACATATACATTTAACTTTTCTCAGTCTAACTAACCTAGATATACATATACATTTAACTTTTCTCAGTCTTACTAACCTAGATATACATATACATTTAACTTTTCTCACTAACCTAGATATACATATACATTTAACTTTTCTCACTAACCTAGATATACATATACAATTAACTTTTCTCTACCTACCTAACCTAGATATACATATACATTTAACTTTTCTCACTAACCTAGATATACATATACATTTAACTTTTCTCTACCTACCTAACCTAGATATACATATACATTTAACTTTTCTCAACCTAACTAACCTAGGTATACATTAAACTTTTCTCAGCCTTATATAATAAGTTCATTGAAAATTTCGTTAACATTGAAGTGTATTTTTGACACTTGTGACAAGACAGTTGAGAAATTAAATTCAAATTTTGGCAGGTAAATCATTTTATCTTAGATTTCTATGGTGTAAATTTAAGCAAAAGATAAACTGACAGGTTTTTATTTTGTATTTATCATAATTATTTCAATAATTTCTGAAATCTATTCTGTTCAACCTCCAGCAAGCAACAAAGCAAAGATTTCCATTTTCATAACAATATTTTAGAATAAAATCACTGTGTTTTGAAATTCACATCAGTATATATTTAGATAACACTGAAACAGATTGCATTTTACTGATCCACATGACTTGCAGCAGTGCCAGTGAATATCGGTGAGAGTATCATCAAACAGAGACAGACAAATGAAAGGACTGATAATGTTATCGTATCTATCTACATTGGCAAAGTGTCAGCAAATTCACAAAAATCAGTTCAAATTGTCCACACCTGATTCCCTGTACTGATGGACAACCAGATCCCTGTATATCCATTCTAGTAAAGAAGACAATATCCAGCCTTTGACAATAGGATGGATTATAGATCACACTGATAAATCTGTATTCATTCATTTTCTTTAACAGACATGGCTTGCGACTGAACCATTAATATACAATAACTATACTTACCTCCCCTTGATGAGTTAGCTCCCTTGCTCTCAGGTTGTGGCGCCTTTTTTTCCTGTTTTATTGGTGGCAGTGGTTGCTTCCCAGCTGTATTGGCTGGAGGTGAAGCAGGAGGAACAGATACTTGCTGATGAATGGAAGGAACTTCTGTACTAAACGAGAATTCTGCACCGGTATTCCCCGTCATTTCATCACTCGAGTTGGAGTTTTCCCCTTGTACTGCTAATAAAGCTCCCTGCCCCCTGTTTCCTCCAGCACTTTGGTTTGTGTTGGATGGTGCCTTTTTCTTACTTCCCCCAGATCCCATGTTTGCTTGGTCAACTTTAAAGTGAAAATATTAACATACATTAAGTGAAAAACAATAAATAAAAACAAACAGATTTAGCAGAGATATAGTGTAACTTAAAAAAACACAGGTTAAGAAAAGTAAGCTGTTCAACATTGATAATGAGATTACCATGGACATACAACTCATTTTGTCCTTCAATTCAGACAGAGAATGAGAAAAAAAGTCTAACACAGGTGGAAGAGTTGGAAAAATACTTCCATTTTAGGCAACCTGACATGAACTGAATCTGGGACATAATATCTTCAGACATGGCCCCTGAAACAAAGAAGCATTTATGACAGAGATGGGAGATACAAGGTGTAATAACAAGGTGTAATAGCAAGGTGTAAAGATAGGTGTAAAGATAGGTGTAAAGATAGGTGTAATAACAAGGTGTAATAGCAAGGTGTAATAACAAGGTGTAATACCAAGGTGTAATAACAAGGTGTAATAATAGGTGTAATAACAAGGTGTAATAACAAGGTGTAATAACAAGGTGTAATAAAAAGGTGTAATAATAAGGTGTAATAACAAGGTGTAATAAGGTGTAATAACAAGGTGTAATAACAAGGTGTAATAACAAGGTGTAATAATAAGGTGTAATAACAGTGTGTAATAACAAGGTGTAATAACAGTGTGTAATAATAGGTATAATAGCAAGGTGTAATAACAAGGTATAATAACAATGTGTAATAATAGGTCTAATAACAAGGTGTAATAACAATGTGTAATAATAGGTCTAATAACAAGGTGTAATAATAAGGTGTAATAACAAGGTGTAATAATAAGGTGTAATAACAAGGACTCTGGTGTGACAACCATATAAAATATATGTGTTGTGTTAATTAAAATCCTCTGTACATTTCCATGAAAACAAATTCTGTAGAATCTGACATTCCCAAGAATCCGTAACAAAAAAGATTTTCTCCAAATGTTTGCACTGTAAAGAGAAATCGCATACTTACCTTGCATGGATTTCCATCAACAACAAAGTTACTAAATTCAAGTTAACATAGACTAATTTCTGGAACGACCTACAACATTATATATCATACTACAGATCTCGAATATGTAAAAACATCCCTACTAATTTGACCTTGGTGGTCTCAAAATAAAGTACATGAATAAGTTATGGGAAAGTCCATTCCAAAGGTTTTTACTCTTAATATTAGTCATCAAAAACAAAACAAGTTCTTGTCCTGTTTGTTTCACAATATACAGCATCGCAAACAACAGAGGATGGAAGTCCTCTAAAGCAACAGTAAAAATCTGGGCAGACACTATAGAAGACATAAATAATTAATGACAATATATCACAGGGTATAGGAAGGTTATGTCGTGTTAATGTCTACAGAAAGGCAGATGTAAGAAAAATAGATTCTTTCAACGAATGATTTATATGTATGGTGTATTATGTACAGTATGGTGTATTGTGTACAGTATATGTATGGTGTAGTATGTACAGTATGGTGTATTGTGTACAGTATATGTATGGTGTATTATGTACAGTATGGTGTATTGTGTACAGTATATGTATGGTGTAGTATGTACAGTATGGTGTATTGTGTACAGTATATGTATGGTGTATTATGTACAGTATATGTATGGTGTATTATGTACAGTATGGTGTATTATGTACAGTATGGTGTATTATGTACAGTATGGTGTATTGTGTACAGTATATGTATGGTGTATTATGTAAAGTATATGTATGGTGTATTATGTACAGTATATGTATGGTGTATTATGTACAGTATGGTGTATTATGTACAGTATTATGTACAGTATGGTGTATTATGTACAGTATATGTATGGTGTATTATGTACAGTATATGTATGGTGTATTATGTACAGTATATGTATGGTGTATTATGTACAGTATGGTGTATTATGTACAGTACATGTATGGTGTATTATGTACAGTACATGTATGGTGTATTATGTACAGTACATGTATGGTGTATTATGTACAGTATATGTATGGTGTATTATGTACAGTATATGTATGGTGTATTATGTACAGTATGGTGTATTATGTACAGTATATGTATGTACAGTATATGTATGGTGTATTATGTGTATGGTGGTGTATTATGTACAGTATATGTATGGTGTATTATGTACAGTATATGTATGGTGTATGTACAGTATGGTGTATTATGTACAGTATGTATGGTGTATGGTGTATTATGTACAGTATATGTATGTATATGTATGGTGTATTATGTACAGTATATGTATGGTGTATTATGTACAGTATGGTGTATTATGTACAGTATATGTATGGTGTATTATGTGCAGTATATGTATGGTATATTATGTACAGTATGGTGTATTATGTACAGTATGGTGTATTATGTACAGTATATGTATGGTGTATTATGTACAGTATGGTGTATTGTGTACAGTATATGTATGGTGTATTATGTACAGTATATGTATGGTGTATTATGTACAGTATATGTATGGTGTATTATGTACAGTATATGTATGGTGTATGTATGGTGTATTATGTACAGTATGGTGTATTATGTACAGTATGGTGTATTATGTACAGTATATGTATGGTGTATTATGTACAGTACATGTATGGTGTATTATGTACAGTATGGTGTATTATGTACAGTATATGTATGGTGTATTATGTACAGTATATGTATGGTGTATTATGTATGGTGTATTATGTACAGTATGGTGTATGTACAGTACATGTATGGTGTATTATGTACAGTACATGTATGGTGTATTATGTACAGTACATGTATGGTGTATTATGTACAGTATATGTATGGTGTATTATGTACAGTATGGTGTATTATGTACAGTACATGTATGGTGTATTATGTACAGTACATGTATGGTGTATTATGTACATGGTGTATTATGTACATGTATGGTGTATTATGTACAGTACATGTATGGTGTATTATGTACAGTACATGTATGGTGTATTATGTACAGTATATGTATGGTTTTTCTGCATTGCTGGATGGTTAATCAAACAAAACCTTCTCTCACTAGCAGGAAAAGGTGAAGTCGGAAAGGGGACCAACTATGAGAAATAGAGCAAATTCATATCCTTATATTCCTGAAGGAATAACAGGTATCACCTTAATTAGGTCTGGATCATTCTTTGGTGAAGAAGAATCAATTTGTATAAAAGGTTGGCTTTGGCCCCCTTGGGCGGGAGGGGTGGGGCCCAATAGGGGCAACAGATCATTTTTTTGAAAATCCTACTTCTCCTGCAGGAATGAATGGATAGTGCCAAGTCTGAAGTATTCTTGGGTGAAAGGGGAATCAGTTCTGCATACAAAGGTGTATCCTTTGAATCACCTGGGGTGGGAGGGATGGGGCCCAATAGGGGAAATACAATGTACAACTTCTTAAAAATCCTTCTTCTGTATAAAGATATTGTTCATGTTTGGTCTAAAGAATTTTTCTGAATAGTGGATCTGACTTCTGTTTGACTACAAGGTCAGAACTCAATATGAAAACTATTTTACAAATCATTTGTCATTTTTCAAATTTTTTGTGAATAGTAGAATTAGCCAGCAGGTGAGCAATGCAGGTCATTTAGGCCTCTTGTTTCTTAAAGAGGACAGTGAGTCTAATAGCTTCAGTACAATTCAAAGAAACTTCAATATATCAAGAGGACTCTAAATGAAGATAACATCGGCTATAAAATCTAAACAGTAATTCTCCTTTAGTGATCACTTTCAGATAAACTAACTGGTTTAACTACATACTTATCATTAGATTTCACAATTCTAAATGTCTTTGTTTTCTGCATGTAAAACAAAGAAGAAGAAAATAGTTGACTTTTAAGACTTACAAGGCTAACAGCACTATACACACTGAAAAGTCAAACAGAAGGAAATATGACCGTTGAACAAGTTAACATCTGTAATAATGAAGTATTGTTAATAAATCAAAATTGGGAAAATTTTGAAGGAGGAAAAACTCACATATCAACTGATTAAACGGTTCTTAATTGGTTTTCCTAAGATATGACAATTCTAAAGATAAATTTACTAAGAAATCCTTACCTTCACCAAAGAAATCTTTTCCCTTGTGTATAGATGTAATATGATTGTGTTTTCTCATTAAATAGTGGTGTGTACACATGCAACATTGATTAAACAGAGAGTGTGCAGCAAATATCTCTCAGTCACATAGTAATCAATAATGTGTTGATCTGGTGGCAAAAGTATTGTCTGCCCAAAATAGAAGTATTGAAAATCTGGAGAACGTAATTAATGATTATTGAAAACTAATTATGGAAATATTCCATTGTTATTTCATCAGATGGTGTTATAATCAGCATTGCGTCAAAAAAATCACATTTCTTATACAGAATTCAACACTTATCAAACTAGAGATAATTGAAATAGTGTGTGAAGATGAAAATGCATTTTTGCCTTAGTTTATGTAAGTTTGTCCCCGTTCCATTACATGATGGAGTTAATATATAAATGGGTTTAGACAAACATTCTTTAGAATCTGTTCAGTTTTAGTTCTAAATGTATTCCTTTACAGTATTCAGGGAAATGTAATATCATTAGTGAAATCATTTGGAAGAAATCTTGTCTTTATTTTGAAATATCCCTAAAAATTGGATTTACTGAAGATAAGGATGACATACAGAATCCTCTGGTCCTTTGACATGTTAATCTGTTAAGAATTATACAAACGTAACTAAATCTGTCTATATCAATGAAAAACTTGCCGCAGAACAGCAATTTATTGGAACGGAGACGTTTTATAAAAAGCTCAATTATTTTATGGGTTGAAAAAAGTGTGTATATGGAAAATGTCTTTTTCATTATAAGTCTCCTACACACAAGGCCAATATTCATTTACTATGATTTGGAAAGATTGTACAAAAGACACAAATATGAATAGCACCATTCAATACAAATTAAGAACAAGACAAAGAGGAGCCAAATGATAATTGAATTGTATCATACAGTTCCTTCTAG